AAAAACCTCTAAAAGGGTAATTACAAAACACTAATGAAAGAAATTGAAGAGGATGCAAACAAATGGAAAGATATCCCATGCTCAAGAATTGGAAGAATTAAAATTGTTAAAATGGCAATATAACCCAAAGCAATCTAGAGATTCAATGTAATCCTTATCAAAGTACCAATGACATTTTTCACAGAAATTGAAAAAATTGTAAAATTTGTATGGAACCACAAAAGATTCCAAATGGCCAAAGAAATGCTGAGAAAAAAAGAACAAAGCTGGAGAAATAACACTACCTGCTCTCAAAATATACTACAAAGCTATAGTAACCAAAATAGCATGGTACTGGCATAAAAACAAACACATAGACCAGTGGAACAGAATAGAGAACCCAGAAATTAACCAACATATCTATAGCCAACAGATTTTTTAACAAAGATGTCAGCAACACTCATTGAGGAAAGGATGGTCTCTTCAATAAATGGTACTAAGAAAACTGGAAATCCATATACAGAAGAATGAAACTAGACTCCCACCTCTTACACTATACAGAGGTCAACTCAAAATGGATCAAAGACCTAAATGTGAGGCCCAAAGTGATTAAACTACTGGAAGAAAACATAGAAGAAATGCTTCAGGAAAAGTTTCATGGGAATCTTTTTTGGCTTCAAGGAAGAAATTCTTTCATAAGGTAGGCCAAATCCATACAGTATTCCTTCATAAGGTAGGCCAAATCCATACAGTAAACTAAAGAGAATGTTCTGTTAAAGGAAAGAACAACAAATACATGAAGTTCCCTCTCAGGCCATTTAAGATAAGAGACCTATGAGCCCACAGAAATCCAAGCTATGACTGACCACAAGTGGGAGACGTGATCTGAGAGACCAATAGATGCTTCTTCATCAACTAAGATGGACCCTAAGGTTAAGGAAATAAAAGGGTACCTATGAGTCAGGGGTTTAGGGCTTGGCTGCCTGACAGCGTCCTAAATTCCTATGGCTACAAGAAAAACCACACTCTTGCTAAACTCCCTAACAACAGGAGCCATCAGGAAAATCCCTAACTCTGATTTACAACCCAGACCACTGCAACCCTGATTAGGCAGAGGATCAGCCTTGCACAATTCTTTCCTGAGAAGCAGCTGCAGACCTCCAGCTATTTTCGACCAGCTTATACAGACTGTGCACAAACTCTGTGTCCTACAGTTCACCTTTTAACAGAGAGAGCTGGAGACTGTCTCTTCTCAGTTTGCAAACTGATATCACCGATAAAATCCCCCTTTTACTCTTTAGCCATCCTGGGGGTCATTACCATTGACTGTGGTAATCATTTTACTGATTGTATGTTTTGTTTTTGCTTCTGTTTTTGTTTTGAGATGGAGTCTCATTCTTGTTGCCCAGGTTGGAGTGCAATGATGGCTCACTGCAGCCTCTGCCTCCCAGATTCAAGCGATCTCCTACCTCAGCCTCCCAAGTAGCTGGGACTACAGGCGCCCACCACCACACCCAGCCAATTTTTTGTATTTTTAGTAGAGACGGGGTTTCACCATGTTGGCCAGGCTGGTGTCAAACTCCTGGCCTCAGGTGATCCATCTGCCTCGGCCTCCCACAGTGCTAGAATTATAGGTGTGAGCCACTGCGCCCGGCCTTCATTGTAAAATTGATTACCACGTGTCATCCAACGATGGATGGTAATCATATACATCTGTATATAAAATTATCTTGTAGATGTTGAATATATACAATTTTTGTTGATTTTACCTAAATAAAGCTGAATCAATCAATGAATCAATCAATCAATCCATCAATAATACTTTAAAATAAAGAATTGTAAAAGTTTTTCTTTCCAGGGACATAGTAAGAGCAATTTTAAAGTACGGTTACATCAATTTTCTTGGCCTCTTTAAAAAAATATAATCCATTAACTAAAACTACCTTTTAAAAAAGGGTTTCTAAAGTTTGCAATATGTAACCATCATCAGACTGATTCAGGTGACACGCCTTGTAGAACCGCAAACGAGACGTATGGTAATCAATGTGACACAAAATCATCTTCAAAATGACCATCGTGTCCTACGTGACCTGAGACTTTCATGTTAAATTCAAAATTATCAATGTTAGTGAAATGGTTAGCATTTCATGTGCTTTCTAAATTCATCTTGTGATCACCATAATAAGCAGAATGAAGGAGAGGCCCCAGCATTTTTTTTTTTTAACTGTTCTCACTGGGGACTTTTTAACATACGCAGAAATGGGGGAAACAGCACGACACGTCCTCAGGTGCAATCACCCGGCACCACAAGTGCTGAACATCCGGACAATCTTATTTTACAGATATTCCTGCACAATCCACCTCCCTTTCCTCGGCATACTTTACATTCAAAACCAGACAACGGATCGTTTTATCGCTAAGTATTACAGGCTGCATTTTTAAATGATAAGAACACTTTTAAAGCACAATTTGCCCGGTGTGGTGGCTCAGGTCTACAATCTTAGCACTTTGGGAGGCCAAGGCAGGAGGATCACATGAGCCAGGAGTTCAAGACTAGCCTGCAACATAGTGAGACCTCCCATCTCTAAAAAACCAAGAAATTATACAATACAATCACCATGCCATTCATCACACTTTATAAAATTAGGGTCACATGGAGAGTGGCAGAACATGTCACCCCAAAATATGCCACTTTGGCATCAGGATTATCTTTACTTAAAGGCTCCTGAGAAGCCGGAGGCTCACGCAGAGCACTCCAGCTTCCCCTCTTCCTCCTGCACTGAAGGCAGGACCTGACCCTCCCATGAAGAGCCGCCCTTGCTGGGCCAGGAGCAAAGCATGTTCTCGTTGGTAGCTGGGGTCTGTGATGGTTAATACTGAGTGTCCACTTGATCAGCAGATTAAAGGATACAAAGTATTGATCTTGAGTGTGGCTGTGAGGCTGTTGCCAAAGGAAATTAACATTTGAGTCAGTGGGCTAGGAAAGGCAGACCCACCCTCAATCTGGGTGGGCACCATCTAATCAGGTGCCAGCTGAATATAAAGCAGGCAGAAAACTGTGAAGAGAGACTGGCCTAGCCTCCCAGCCTACATCCTTCTCCCGTGCTGGATGCTTCCTGCCCTCGAACATTGGACTCCAAGTTCTTCAGTTTTGGAACTTGGACTGGCTCTGCTTGCTCCTCAGCCTGCAGATGGCTGTGGAGGGACCTTGTGATTGTGTGAGTTCATACCTGATAAACTGTTCCTTTACATATACATCTATTTCATTCGTTCTGTCCCTCTAGAGATCCCTGACGAATACAGGGTCGAAGCTGAGTGGCTCTGCACAGATAGACCTGTTAGCACAGCCCTCGCCTTCCCTCCATCTCCCATCTTGTTTGGTGGCTTGTCCACCGTGGCCTCTGCCCAACACCACAGGGCAGCGTGCAGGCTGTGCCACTCATCAGTCTTCCTTTCCCATGGGGCTCCGTGTCAGGTAGACCCCACATTCAACAAATCCGATGTTCTACCCCGTCAACCTGCCTTAGGCCAATTCCATTCTCAGGCCCTGCCAGGGACCCTAGGAGGGTACAGGAGAAGGTTTGCTCCCTACACACCCAGGACACACTCGGACTTCCCCACTGTTCCAACAATGCCTGTGACAATCGGCTTGTGCACGCCAGGCTCCAAACCAGGTCGCACTGAGGCTGACTCATCTCATTCTACTGTGTTCTCCTGCCTTTAAAAACAAAACTTATTATTAGAGAAGGCAGGCAGTCTGTTCTGTGAAATGTCCACACTCTGGACTTGGCAGATGGTTTCCTCTCCTTTAAAATGACAGTCCTTGAGACTTGAGTAGATGCTGGTTTGATTTTGAAGCAAAAGTGCTTCATCAGTCCCGCTGTGTCCCACCTGCTGCACCTTCTCAGGACATCCTGTCTCTGCATCCCAACTTCAGGGGAGCTGCGAATGCTTAGAGGGTTTGAGGCAACCCTGAGCCCTTGTCGTGAAGATCCCATCAACTCTGACCAGCGTCCTCTGAGGAGCCTAGAGTCACTATTTCACTGGGGGTTTCAGATGATGGTTTTCCAGTTTTATCATTTGTTGAGTTTATTACCTAGAATCTTCTGTTCCCTCAAAAACCATGCATCTGCCCTGAGTATGTTTCCTACAGGAAGGACCTTACAGAGCTTTCCTCTTTCCATCACTTTTTAGAATAATGAGTCGATGTTCTAGCACCCAAAAAAGTAATGTGAGGTCCTTTTAAAAAATCATTATTATGAACTCAAGATTGTAAATATAATGATGTATTTCAATCTGCTCTAGTCCCTCCTTAATCCCCACGCTTCTATCCCGCGTTGAGGGAGTGCCTGAGGTGGGCTCCATGTGCTGGGACACAGCCCCCCCACCCCCCGTTCTGAGGCCGCCCTTGCTGTTCAGCCCGGAAGCGCCCCAGGCTCCTCCCACCCACTTCCTTTCCCAGCCCAGACTCGAGTTGTCTAATGAGCGTCTCTCCTGCAGTGGGCTTGGTCCTCAGAGACCCCAGCTGGGGTGTTGGGCTGCTCCTTCTGACTTCTCGGCCTTTTCATGGCTAAAACTAAAAAGCACGGAGGCTTTTCAGGAGAAACACAATTACGCTTGATTCCAGTTTAGAATCACAAAGTTCACACTTGATATCATTGATTTTCTATTTATGTCTCTTTTCCTGGTGCTCTACATTTTAGAACCTGCTCATATTTGCACTCATTGATCATTTGGGCTGGTAAATAAATGGAAGTGAAGTAACTTCCTCACATAGCACTATGGGTCAGGAGCTGGTTTCCCACAAGGAAAGCGTGTCAAATGCTTAATTTCATGTGCCAATAGAAATCAAGGAACAAAAAAAAAAATTCTTCTTAACTAAGAAAGCCTAAAATAAGTTACTTTCTATCCACTTAGCCTCTGAGTTGCTCTCCATTGTAGGGATCTGTGGGGACTATGGAGACCCACCAAGCAGGAAGCCGCTCTCTGAATAGAGTTTGCAAGGAAAATTATATACTCACGTCATCAACAGCATGGGCCACTTCTCTAGAGATGGAGCTGCAGGAATAAAACAACATTGAAAATACACGTCATGAGGAAATTGCTTTCTGAATTCCTAACATTCAGCCTCTAACACACCCTTGTGTTTCTTCGCCATCCTCCCTGCGTCTGTCTTGGTCACTCTAAAACACCCCTGTGCTTCTCTGCCATCATCTCTGTCTCTGTCCTGATCTCCCAGGACCCTGGCTTGGCTCTTCTCTCTCTTCCTGTGTGCATGGGTCCACCCTTCCATCCCTTTCTAAAACTCCACTCATTGTCCTTTTTGACCTTATCCTTTTTTTTTTTTTATTCTTTACTTTTTATTTATTATTTTCGTCTCTTTCCCCCACCTTCTGTCTTCTCTTGATTTTTTTACTCCAATACCCCTGTTCTTTATTTCTTGTTTTCATCTTCCCTGTCTGCACTGCATGGGAGTCATCCATACTACAGTAATCCACGCTTAAATATCTCCTTCACGTGCAGTTTAGAGCAGTGGTGATACAGAACAAGGGATCCAAACCCCCGGCCACGGAGGCCTGTTAGAAACCAGGCAGCACAGCAGGAGGTGAGCGGTGATCGAGTGAGCAAAGCTTCTCTGTACTTACTGTCGCTCCCTATCACTGGCATCACCGCCTGCGCTCAGCCTCCTGTCAGATCAGCAGCAGCATTAGATTCTCTTAGGAGCACAAACCCTACTGTGAACTGTGCATGTGAGGGATCTAGGTTGCACACTCCTTATGAGACTCTAATGCCTGAGGACCTGTCACTGTCTCCTTCACCCCCAGAGGGGACCCTCTAGTTGCAGGAAAACAAGCTCAGGGAAGCTCAGGCTCCCACCAATTTGACATTGTGGTGAGTTGTATGATTAATTTGTTGTGTATTACAGTAATTGAAATAATTACAATAATTGAAATAAAGTGCACAATAAATGAAATGCAGTTGAATCATCCTGAAATCATCCCCGTCCCGGCCTGCCAGTCTGCGGAAACCTTGTCTTCCACATAGCTGGTCCGTGGTGCCAGAAAGGTTGGGGACCACTGATCTAGAAGACAGGCTTGTCAGGTTCTCCCCTTCAGAAAATCAAGCATCTGCAAACCATTATGAATCCGAAAAAATGCAACATGTTTCAAAACCAAAAGCCAATGAACACAAACAATGTGAGAGTTCACACACACGTTTATGGAGCCTCTTAAGAAGCTCTGAGAAACTGAACAGCCCAGAGCGGCGCCATCCAATAGAAACAAGCCTCTGTGACTATGGAAACGTGCTTGTCTTTCTCACCTGCCCGAGGCCACGCCTCAGATGTTTTCTCACCTGCCTGAGGCCACGCCTCTGATGAGGCTACTGCAGCTGAGGAGCCCCTTTTCTGATGGGATTTCATTTGCATTTATTTGCATGTATTTCCCTCTCGTGGTGGGAGGCTCGCAGGGAGGCTGGTGTGTAACAAAAGCCGTCTGGAAGTGCCATGTAAAAGGCAAGTTCAGGAAAGCTGGTCACCGCTGGGGACCGCTAACTACAGGCTGAGCATCCCTCATCTAAAAATCTGAAATCCAAAATGCTCCAAAATCCAAAACGTTTTGAGCACTGAGAGGATGCTCAAAGAAAATGCTCACTGCATTATCTTGCTGATCCGGTACATGCAAAACATGAGCATTTGAAAATACGAAAAAATTCAAAACTGGAAACACTTCTTCGGGTCCCACACGTTTTGAATGAGGGCCACTAGGCCTGTCCCGTGCCACACCGACGTACCCGACAGGCCCAATTTCCAGTCCTTTGACAAGTGACAAGTGGCCACCACTCAAGAAAGTGCAGAAGGTACTAGAGCTGCCACAATCAAGTCTAAAAACTTTGAGGAGAAAAAGTTTCAATGATTGTCAAAAGATCCGAATTTCTTGTTTCACACTGTAGGACCCGCCAAGTGCTTTCTGAAACATTCTCAAGTCAAGTGCCGAACTGCAGGACGCAAACACGGTGAGACTCGAGCTAGGCCCTCCAAGGAAAGCTCATTTGGACAGATTAAGCAGAGGAACCCAAGACAAGAAAAACAGCCTGAGCAAAGCTACAGAGTCAGGAGCAGGCCCTAGTGACCCCCACTGTGGATACAGCCAACCCCATATGGTGTCAGGAAAGCAGGGAAGTGGAACCCCCTGGAGTGGTGGGAGGGTCAGCAATGGGCGTGGGGAGGGTCAGGTGTGGTCACCGATGGGCATGGGGAGGGTCAGGTGTGGTCAGCAGTGGGCATGGGGAGGGCCAGGTGTGGTCAGCGATGGGCATGGGGAGGGCCAGGTGTGGTCAGCGATGGGCATGGGGAGGGTCAGGTGTGGTCAGCGATGGGCATGGGGAGGGCCAGGTGTGGTCAGCGATGGGCGTGGTGAGGGGCAGGTTTATGGAGGGAGGCAAGAGGGTCAGAGATGGAGGGAGGGCAAGTGTGGCCAGCAATGGGAGTGGCAGGAGGGTCAGGTATGGTCAACAATGGGAGTGGGGAGGGCCAGGTGTGGCCAGCATGGGAGTGGGAGGATCAGGTGTGGTTAGGATGGGAATGGGAGGGGAAGGTGTGGTCAGGATGAGGGGAGGGGCAGGTGTGGTCAGGATGGGGGCAGGGGCAGGGGTAGGTGTGGTCAGGATGGGAGTGGGAGGGCCAGGTGTGGTCAGGATGGGAGTGGGAGGGGCTGGTGTGGTCAGGATGGGAAGGGGGAGGGGCAGGTGTGGTCAGGATGGGGGCAGGGGCAGGTGTGGTCAGGATGGGAGTGGGAGGGGAAGGTGTGGTCAGGATGGGAAGGGGGAGGGGCAGGTGTGGTCAGGATGGGAAGAGGGAGGGGCAGGTGTGGTCAGGATGGGGGCAGGGGCAGGTGTGGTCAGGATGGGAAGGGGAGGGGCTGGTGTGGTCAGGATGGGAAGGGGGAGGGGCAGGTGTGGTCAGGATGGGGGCAGGGGCAGGTGTGGTCAGGATGGGAAGGGGGAGGGGCAGGTGTGGTCAGGATGGGAAGGGGGAGGGGCAGGTGTGGTCAGGATGAGGGGAGGGGCAGGTGTGGTCAGGATGGGAGTGGGAGGGGAAGGTGTGGTCAGGATGGGAAGGGGGAGGGGAAGGTGTGGTCAGGATGGGAAGGGGGAGGGGCAGGTGTGGTCAGGATGAGAGGAGGGGCAGGTGTGGTCAGGATGAGGGGAGGGGCAGGTGTGGTCAGGATGGGAAGGGGGAGGGGCAGGTGTGGTCAGGATGGGAGTGGGAGGAGCAGGTGTGGTCAGGATGGGGGCAGGGGCAGGTGTGGTCAGGATGGGAAGGGGGAGGGGCAGGTGTGGTCAGGATGGGAGGGGGAAGGCCAGGGGTGTTGTTTCATGGGAAGCAAGTAAGAGTCATATTGAGTATGGTTTTCAAGTAAACATTTGAGTAAATGAACTTCAGACAGTTTTGCTTTATCCATGGACACCATCAAAACTTTCTCTAAGTCAAAAGTGTCAGTTGAGTCAATCCTCATTGACTGCCTGCACAGGGGCGTGGGTGGTCTCAGGTTCATAAAGAAGAGTGGGTGCTCCCTTTTTGATGTAGTGACATAAAGGGAAAGGTCCATTCAAAGCCTGTCCCTGTTTGTTCAGACCCCGCAGAGGCAAACCATGAAAAGACAGGCGCCCTCTCAGGTACAAACTGCCACCACGCACGGCGGGCCTGCTCAGGCGGTTTGGCTGTTTTCAGGCCGTATTCCAGAGGGCTGCTAACTGTTTGCTGTCAGCAAGACAGCTCCATCCTTAAAAAGAGCCCCCACCCACAACTCGAGAATATGCTGCTTTGGGACTGGCGGCAGGACAATAGATGGCGTTTAAAATTGTGCCACCCCTCTGTCTTCTCCGTGAGCACACACACAGACACACACACACCGTGCAAACACACGTTACCTGCTCTGCAAAACTGGATCATCGGATTCACTATCAAAAGGCAACAAAGGACGAATCCGACAGTGAACTCTGATATTTCCTCTCAGCTCCTACAATGATAAAGAGGTCTGCATGTCAACCCGGGCGCAAGACTGCACTGCGGAGCGTCCCCCACTGAACATGCACCGAGCACCAGCTCCTGAGACGCGGCCGTGACATCCGCAGCCCCATCTCCACTTCAAAAGGCCTCTGCAGGGCAGTGAACAGTTATTTCATTTACTTATTTAGTTTTTGAGATGGAGTCTTGCTCTGCGCCCAGGCTGGAGTGCAGTGGTGCAATCTCAGCTCACTGCAACCTCCGCCTCCCAGGTTCAAGTGATTCTCCTGCCTCAGCCTCAAGAGTAGCTGGGATTACAGGCGCCCACCACCACACCCAGCTAATTTTTGTACTTTTAGTACAGAAGCGCTTTCACCACGTTGGCCAAGCTGGTCTCGAACTCCTGACCTCAGGTGATCCGCCCGCCCCGGCCTCCCAAAGTTCTGGGATTATAGGCATGAGCCACTATGCCCGGCCATGAACAGTTATTTTAAACTGGATTCATACTTCACAAATGTGTTCACTTGGCAAAGGGGTATCACTTGCTAATAAGCACCAAAGAAAATCCCTTTGAATGGTATTCTGGGCTCAACCTTTTAGGTATTTTAGGGGGGATTCTGGAAATTCAATATCTGTCATATTTCCTTGATTTACTGACTGGAAGGAAATTAGAAACTCTTTATTCTCATGAACTCCACTGGTTTCCAGTGAGCAACACATCTTTACTGTATGTGCCCAGACACTTGCCGAATCCGTTCTGAAATCCTGTCTTGGATTCACAGCGAGCTTATTCAGCCTGTTGTGATGAGCAGCTCCTTCTACAGTTTGAAAACGGAGTGAGTGTCATAGGCCAATGATTTACAGCCTCTGTCTGGTCTCTGTGAACCCACAGAAGCTGAGATCAGCCTCTGCTTGCATGTTCTCCACGGGCCACACACTGCACGCTCGTCGTCTAGACCAGGAGACCCAGGCTTGAGGTGGAACACTCAGAACCTTCCACAACCGATTCTTCCCTGTGGGACTTGCCTCCGTCTTAGGAAGGTTCATTTTGTCCTTTTCACACTCCAGATTTAAAAAAAAGCTGCAGTGTAGTGAGACTTTCTGAAGTGCTAGGTGCTTCCCTGGTATCTTCCTTTGTCTTTATCACAACCCAGAGAGGTGGTGCTATAGTGAAGATTAAGTAAGAAATACACTAAAATGCTTTCAAAAGTACTTGGTACACAGGAAACACTCAATAAACGCCCTCTTATATCAATGTTCGCAGCACTGAACTCCATAAGTAGATGCTTAAAATGAGAATTATTCTTTGACACATCTAACAGCTGGGGAACCTCTCAGCATGGCCAGGGGAGAGAAACTTTGCAGGGACACCGGCTTCGTGGGCCTCGGGCAGGTGGAATTCGGAAAGACTGGCCAAAGCGCAGCCATCAAAATCAAATCTCACAGAAGCGAGGGTCACCAACTCAGTCATCCACCTTGGCATCCTCGTGTTGTAAAATCAAACCCTGAGACTTTACGTTAAGTTTCATGGGATCTCAGGTCTCATACCTTCGACTAAGTAAGCACGAGAGCCTCCCGGTCTTGTTAATGGGCACGGAGAGACATGGCTGGAAGGTGCTGGTGACAGAAGGGGCAGGGCAGTCTCCACCGGCATCTCCAGTTACAACAGAATCCCTGCTTTTCCCGTGCCAGTCCCCATCTCCGCAGATTCCCGCGCTCCCGACTTCCCGTGACAGCTCCTTCCTCGTGCCTCACAGCAGCCGGTCCCACTCCCTGCATCGCCACCAACGTGGCCCAGGCTGCCAGCCCCCGTGACACTGCAGTCATCCCCCCTGCTCCCCATTGTGGCCTCCTGACTGAGCAGCCAGAGTGACCCCGAAAGCCTAAATCAGCCTGCGGCGCCCTCACCCCTCCTCCAGCTGCCATCACCTCCTGGGTGAAGAGTACGCAGGTCATAGCCCCCGCAGCTCTGCCCCTCTGCCCTCCGGCCAGGCCGCCCCACTGTCCCCCTCCCCGCTGTCCCCCCTGCCTAGCACCCTCCTGCGAGGGGCTCCTGCGTGTTCCGTGTGGGCTTCTCCCCGGGGCGGCCCCGAGTTTTCCCCAACGCCCACGCTCACCACCAGGCTGTTGTGCAGGGCCTTCCTTCTCTGCCTCTCCAGCTGATGACGCGCACTGACGTCCTGCAAGGCCTGCTCCAGGCGCACCACCTTCGCCTGGCACGCTGAAAGGACACAGGGACAGAGGCATTATACCGGAGAGGACATCCATGGGGCCCCGCAGGTCAAATTCCTTTCTCTAAGTATGGGAGACATTTTTAAAAACAATGGAGTCTGCCAGGGCCAGCTGCATGCTGTGGTGTGTACTCCTGACCGCTTTGGACCCAGGCTGCCCTGTCCCCACCGTGACCAGGGACTCACAGAGCTTACCGGGGGGACCTCTCCCCACAGTTACCCCGTCCGTCATCAGCCTGAATGCTGCCCAATCGTCTGCACGGCAGCCAAGGAGGCCTCTGCTCCTAACGCACTGGGAGCCCTTGGTGCGGGGGGTGGGGCAGGGAGGCAGATGCTGGGGCCGGGCTCTGCTGCTGTGGATTGTAACGCTGGTCTGGGCCTCCACTCCTGCCTCTGTCCCACCAGGATGGCGCCTCGGTGATGTGGCGATGAGTGGGCACTGCGTGGGCGCCTTGGCCGAGCTTGGACACCCTAATCCCCAGACTGGCCATTGCGGTGGAGGAAGTGTGAGGGTGACACGGAGCGCGGTGTCGTGCTGCAGGGGACACCTCGTGACTGTATGAGTCACGATAGCCAGGGGCCCCTTCAGATGTCACTTAGCCAAAGGATGCAGCCCAGCCGGGCCTTTCTCCCCCAGGCCCGAGGACCTGCAGAGACAGGGCCCGCTCAGCACAGATGCAGCTCTCATGAGGCCTGAAATCAAGCTGGACTTGCAGAACCATGCACGCTCCCTTTCGGAAAGAACACCCGTTACCAGGTCCAGACTGAATGTGGGTGTAAGAAAGTGGGAAGGGTCCCCCACAGTGAGAGAGGGACCCTCCCAGTCACTTGGTCTTCTGAGCCTTGACTGTGTCCGGCCCCAGCCACCAGCCTGTCCCCACTATCCCTCTCGTCAGGGCAGCTGAAAGGAGTTGCCTGGGCACCTGAGGCTCATCTTTGAGGAGCGTGGAACTCGAGGGGAGAAGTCGCGCCCCCCGGGAAGCCAGGTAAGGAGGCCCCGAGCCCCTGAGCCTGATGCCTGAGCAGGAATAAGCCTCCTGGGGACCCCTCTGTGTGGCGGGACTGCACCGTGGCTCCCACAGGCAGGGTCTCAGCAGGCCCTGCCTCCTTACATGTCAGCATTCCCTCTGCGGGACAGCCTTGGCTGTTCCCTGCTTCTCCCTTTGAGTTTCATCTTTTCAAAGCTTAGGTACACTGCTTTTCACAAAATTACTGTGAAAATCATTTCACAAAAATGATTGTCCCTTTCCCTGCAGCACATGGCTTACAAGAACACAAGCATTGCCGGGTGTGGTGGCTCGCGCCTGTAATCCCAGCACTTTGGGAGGCCGAGGTCGGCAGACCATCTGAGGTCAGGAATTCGAGACCAGCCTGGCCAACATGGTAAAATCCCATCTCTACTAAAAATACAAAATTAGCCAGGCATGATGGCGGGCGCCTATGATCCCAGTTACTCGGGAGACTGAGGCGGGAGAATCGCTTGAACCCGGGAGGCAGAGTTGCAGTGAGCTGAGATGGTGCCACTGCACTCCAGCCTGGGTGACAGAGCAAGACTCTGTCCCCCCACTCCCACCACAGAAAAGAACACAGGCGTACACACATCACTTCTACAAACACGGCCTCTGGGGAGTTATTAGCAGAGTGCACTGAAGACAACTAGGCTACTGCAGCGATTTCAAGAAAGCATCACGTAGCCTCGCAGAAAAACAGTACAGCTTCCAAAGTCTCCACACACCTATTTTGCAATAACAGCAGAACAACACTTGACCGAGTTCCTAACTTGACAATCATCTGTTTGGCCTGTGGACACACTGAACACTGGACAGAAGCTGTGAGCACGAGATGAACGTGGGGACGGTGCTCTTTGGTTCTTTTGTTTTTTTGAGACAGGGTCTCGCTCTGTCGCCCAGGCTGGAGTGCAGTGGCACGATCTCGGCTCACTGCAACTTCCGCCTCTCGGGTTCAAGCAATTCTCCTGCCTCAGCCTCCCAAGTAGCTGAGATCAAAGGCATGCACCACCACGCCCGGCTAATTTGTGTATTTTTAGTACAGACAGGTTTTCGCCATGTTGCCCAGGCTGCTCTCAAACTCCTGGCCTCATGTGATCTGCCCGCCTCGGCCTTCCAAAGTGCTGGGATTATAGGCGTGAGCCACTGGGCCTGGCAGGATAGTGCAATGTGGACGATGAGTTTAAAGCTGCAGAAGCAAAGTAACCTCTTCCACAGGCTTCAAGCACCGTAGCTGAAGATAATAAATCCATTATAACAAAAGAGTAGCCAAATGCTGTGGCATTCTTAGAAATGAAGAAAGAACTGAACTGATAAGACAAAAAAAAAAAACAAAAACAAAAAACCTCACGTCATATTTTAGGAAACTCTGACACAGAATGCCCAACGTAGACACAGGTGCCAGTTCAGTAGTGACTGTCAAGGCCAGGGAAGTGCCCTGTGGTGACCAAGAGAACAAGGAGCTCCCCTGGCAAGTGGGGCTGCAGTGGGAGCTGGGAGGGAGCAGTGCACACGCCAACGTGGCCGAATCACACGGTGCCTACCCTCGCTGTGGGATTAGGTGTCAGCTAAAAGGAAAAAGAAATGGAAACTTAAATTCTACCAGTCATTGTCTTAAAACTGCAAACATTCTCTTGAGTGTGACTGACGCCCCTCCTACCTAGCAGGGTCTCGGCGCTCTGCCGTGTTCTTTGCACCGCGGTCACTATCGCAGAAACACGGTCCTGATACTCATCCTGATAATCTCTTAGGGTGCCCGAGAAGAAGAATGAACGCCTGTATATCCTGGTAGTTCTATAAAATAAGAACATACACGATTCGTAAAATTATATTATTAATGATCACAGTATAATTACATAATAATTAGTTATATAGGTTTCTATAGAATAATAACATACCCGGCCGGGCGCGGTGGCTCAAGCCTGTAATCCTAGCACTTTGGGAGGCCGAGACGGGCGGATCACGAGGTCAGGAGATCGAGACCATCCTGGCTAACCCGGTGAAACCCGTCTCTAGTAAAAAATACAAAAAAATAGCCGGGGCGAGGGTGGTGGGTGCCTGTAGTCCCAGCTACTCGGAGCCTGAGGCAGGAGAAATGGCGTAAACCCGGGAGGCGGAGCTTGCAGTGAGCGAATCGGCCACTGCACTCCAGTCTCGGCGACAGAGCAAGACTCCGTCTCAAAAAAAAAAAAAAAAAAAAAAAAGAAAAAAGAATAATAACATACCCACACAATTAATGTAACGGGGCTGGACATGTTGTTAACTGGAAGGGTTTAAAGCAGAGGTGGTTCAGCACAGGTGTGTCGACACCTGCTGGGACTGTTTTCATGCCGCCTGCGCCTCGGCTCACTTACAGAAGTTCTGACTCGGTACATCTGGGATTTGTACTTTCAAAGCAGTACATGTGGCTTTTATGCCCTTAAAGTATTTAAGAAACAGAAAGTCAAGTATTTCACCAATTTCCGTAGGAAGGGCTGCTCACTGCACGGTGGGGTGATGCTGGGCGCGAGCCGTGTTTCCGTCTGTTGTTGACTTCCTCATGATGATGGCTCGGGCTCGGAGCCTCTCATCACCGCCTGAGAAACGGGGGCCGCCCTCCTAATCTACTATCCAGACCTGCCTTCTGGAAGCTCAGTTATCACGAGCACGTGGTGGAAAACATGTGGGCCGGTGAAAACAACTTAACATGTAAATGTACATAATAAAATTCCAGACACAATACATATGAATGCTTTTAGAGAACTTTGGGAGCAAAGCAACTCATGTCCTGTGCGGAAAGTCCTCTTTTCCCCCTGAAATTATCTCAAGGATCTTCCATGGGAAGATTTGACAGAACCAGGACACTACTGCTTAATATTTAATATCAGACACTCTTAAATCACGAGAGCATAACTAAACTTAAATAAGTATTCTTCATTGTTTTAATTGTTTTAGTCAAGTCTCTCTTTTTCTATAAAATGGAGATGACTTTCATATGTTTGGGAAACATTGTAATAATAACATTTTAATATCAAAACAAGTGTTTTTATTATATGGAGTACAGAAAAAGTTAGACAACGTATTCAATTAATTTTATTCAGTTTGAAAAGAATGAAAATTAATTTCATATACATTTATTCTAAATACACTAATGTAGCTTACGAGGGGGTGGGATATCTCTAATTCTGAGTAACAAAGAGAACAGATTAATCCTGTTTACAGATGTTTTACTGTTGTAGTCATTATGCTGGTCACATTGTTTAAAACAAAAGGTAAAACAATGTTCTCAACCAAAGGTATAAAAAATATCCTCCTACAATTTCACCCTGGAGAACTGCCAAATATACTATACAGAATAAGTATTTTTTTAACTTTCATTTCTAAAAATTATTAGTAGTTTAACAGGAGCTGTTCACACTGATGACATGCTGTACCAGATCTATTTAATCTAACATGTATAAACATGTTTTCTACCATTTAACGTTAAAATTAAATTGAGAACTTTGATTAACTAAAGATTTCAGTTTAATGATTTAATTTGATTCATTAAAATGAGAATTTTGACTCATAAAATTGAACTACTACCACAGCTATTTGAAATAATTCATTTCATGGCCAAAATGTATTTTTCCTTCTGATATTTGCTCAGAATCCCAATCCTATGTTTTGTTTTGTTTTTAGGTTTAGTCTTCTGTTTAGTATGTAGTAGAAAGCGGAACTCCCAGAGTGAATACCATCTGCAGTTGATTATGAAAATAGTAACGATTTTGGCCGGGCGCGGTGGCTCATGCCTGTAATCCCAGCACTTTGGGAGGCAGAGGCAGGCGGATCACAGGGTCAGGAGATGGAGACCATCCTGGCTAGCACGGTGAAACCCCG